TACAGCCCGTTTGGTGGGCAACACCACGTTGTTCTCTGCTGCCCAAGAGAAACGTTATCCAAGTAAATCCTCCAGCTGAACAGTGCATCTCTGAAGCAATCACATCTTCAGCTGTGAGAAGAGCACCGTTGCAGGAGTGGCAGCTTCACCCCAACAATACAATTTTAGGGAATGCTGGAAAGAAGTGGAGGCAGCTGGAGATGCGCTGAGGTGCTGCAAGGAATGCAGCTGAAGGTGTGGGTTCTCTGGTGTCTAGTAAGGTTGTGTTCATCTACCAGCACCCCTTAGCTGAGACACAAAGTGTTTCTTTCCTCAACCCAGCTGCCCCTTTTCATACAATCCACGTTCTTCCATCTCCATCCTTTTCTTACACACTGTTTAGGAGCAGTCCTTAGAGAAGCAGGATGGCTGCATGGCTGACTACTGTGATCTGTGACAGATGTTTCCATACTGGCAAAATCCCTCATTTTCCTATAGAAGTGGTGCAGGAACAGTCACCAGCGTGGTGTGAGCCTGAGGATGGGACAGCTGGGCACACCAGGGTGCTGAGTCCCAGCAGGTTTGGACAGACTCGTGTTCTCAGTGGTTGTCAGAGGGGGTGACAGCAGTCTGTGTGTTTATCACCCTCTTTCCCAGAGTTGGCTTGTTTGGTTCAGTACCTTTTAGCTGAGAAATGTGAGCTGCCTACCTGGGTAGGACTCTGGTGTGCTCGTACCATGTGTGAGCAGCTCTGAGGATGTGGCTGAGTGGGTTTCTTTCTTTTAAGAACGGGAGCAGCAATGTGGAGCTCCTAAATGGGAAGGGAAGCATAAGCAGCTTTTATAAGCTAAGGAGCAAATATCCTAGAGAGCTGGGATCCCAGTCTGTGTGCAGCCAGCCTACGAACATAGCTGTATCCCTTCTGAAGGTTTAGGTTAATAATAAGAAATAAAAGACGTTGTGCTGGCAGAGGTTAGCAGCACGTTGTTCACAGTCCCTATGAATCTCTGTCCTGCAGCTGAGCACAAAACAAATCCCCAATGCGGGCTGGCAACTACCCAGCCCCAGGGGGGGACGTTCCAGCTAAGTTTGCATTGCATTGTTTCTCACCAGGTCATGACGACTTATTTAGCTGCTGCCAAAGCAAAAACTTCAGAGGGGCTTCTTACACCTACTTCGCAGTCCACATCACTGGGGCTCTTGTTCTCTTCATGACTGATGGGATTGTGGTGAGTTCAGCCGATAGAAGGATCCTGTCTGTGCAAAGCTGTGTGGCTTTCTTCCTTCCACATCACTTGCAACAGCCCATACCCAGAGACACCCACGTGTCCCCTGTGTGTGCAGTGGGCTGGACCTGATGGTGTCTGTGCAGCAGTGGGGTTCCCAAGGCAGCTCATTAAAAGCTGATGGCTCTGGCTGACGTCTTCCCTGCTTCTTGGGAGGGTTGTGTACCTTCTCCTAGGCGCTGTGTTGTTGCAGCTAGATGGCTACTGCTACTCTCCTAACCAGGGCAGAGCTGGAGTTGTGATGGTGTCCTTGCAGGCAGTGGAATTCTCACTTTAGCCGAGGTGTAAAAACAGCTTTATGTCATAAGAAACAGAGGTTCTTTGCTTGATGGGTCTACAATATCCAAGAGGAAAGCGTGCATGCAGTCTCTCTGTATTGGCCTGACAGCATGTCCCCCAGCAGGGCAGTCACAGGGGGCTCATAGTGCTCCTCTAGACGAGGAGGGCTCATTTGGCTGCTGCTCCTCCAAGCAGGTTTGTCTCAGTCTACATGTGGTAAAATACTGCTGAGTCTCACTAAGGCCTTAAACAGGATCTGGGAAGATGAGCTGGGGTTACATCAAGCAGCTGTCAGAGACAGAACCTCTCTAGGGCTTCCATCTTCAGGGATGACTGACTCTGAGTTCTTACTGTGAGATGTGTTCAGAGTATGCAATTCCAAGACAGCCCTAGGGGAAGAGAGCATCTCTATGGGTAAGAGCTTAGCACGCATTCTACCTAGCGCAGCTGTTCAGTGGTGCCCTTTTAGGAGTGTCTCAGTCCTGTGTTCTACTTCTGTCTCCAGCTGCAAACTCTTGGGAATAAGATTCACTGAGGATAGCAATAGCAAATCCATAGGCAGACCTTCCTGCAATACTGTATTATCAATATTGAAGGATGGGTTGAGGTTAACGTTGCAAAGCCTGGAGGTCATTATGTCACAGTGATGTGCTGTCCTGTCTTCCCCACAGGGAGAATACTCAGGCTTCATTTACAGCTACGCCGTGGAAGAGCCTCTCTCTGTAGTGCACAAGGTGGCTGGCTACCTGCCCAGCCTCTTCTGGGGATTCATCACACTTGGCAGGCTCATCTCCATCCCCGTGTCCTACCGAATGAAGCCAGCAACCATGGTCTTCATCAATGTGGTAAGGCTATTCCTACCTTCCTCCTGCTTGCTGCCTAGTTTTGATGCCATACCTGGGGTAGCTTTGCACCAGGTGCTGTGACAAGCATCACCGTTGGGGTGAGCTGCATCACCACCTCTATGTGATTGTGAGTGACACGAGGGGGTAGCTAACACCTGCAGCGTGGTCGTACTGCTTTTCTGAGCTTGAGGTTTCTGAAAGCAACTAGTAAACCATCTGCCAACTTCATTTATTTTCACATCATCTTCTCTGGCATCCGCAGGGAAATCAACGTCTGTGTCAACCGTGGGGAAAGGAAGGCAGCTAGCTTGAAAGTTCTCTGCTTAGACTTTACTGGTTGTCAAACAAATCAGTGTTATGTTTGCTTGCTTAAATTAATAAAATGTATTCACCTGAAGAAAGGGGATGGAACCCTGAGAGGATATTTGAGAGATGCACAGGAGGATATGAGAGACAGCAGGGAGGGAACTGGTCCCATTTCCCCATCATGAAGAGATGGCAGTTAATTTACAATCTATTTAAACCACAAGTTATTCTGGTGGCAGGTTTTACTGCTAATAAACAAAACAGGGTGGTGACAATGCACATTGGGACCTTCTGAAGTCTTATGCTAATATCTGTTGCTGACAAATGAAGAAGCCTGCTTGGCACCTTATTCCTGGTCACTTTGTCAACTAAATCTATGTACCAACAGCTACAGTGAAGTGCTTTGCCCTTATTTTTAAAATGAGTATAATAACCTCCTGTTTCAGAATGTAGTCACTAGTGTGGAGCAGGGAAGACTCAGCCCCATCAGCTCCAGATCAGGTATATGGCACAAGCATCACCTCAACTGGCTGTATCACTTTTTGAGCTGTTTGACTGCTCTCTAAAACCTGAGGTTGAGACATCTTAGCAGCTGCTCATATTTGGAGAGATAAGGGAGGAGCCTCCAACTCTTAACGGAAGCCTCCTCACTTCCTTTTAAAGGCAATAACATCACCCAAGGACAAAAACACACATTTCATGCACTGCTTGCTTGTTGGTCCTGCTGCACGTAGCAGTCATTCCATCATTATAGCAAATTCAGTTTGAATTCCATTTCTTTCCAATCCAAATCCCTCCTGTGTACATGCAAATGCCCATCACCAGGGCCTGAATATTTAAGATATCTTAAGTTGGTACAGAAGAGCTCCCTCTGCTGCCTCCCTGTGCCATGGTTACCAGCACAGCTGAGGTGTTCTTGCTATTATTGTACACTGCAGCACAACAGAAGTGAGGGCAGGTTTGGTTTAATGCCTTTGGCACTTTGGCTTTACTCTCTTTGTGGGGCGTGAGCAGTTATGAAGTGACTGAACTCTTCAGAACCTGCTGAGTAAGACTTGTTAATGATTGAGACTGCTGCCTCCATAATATTTACTTCATTTTAATTCAGCATTTGCCTTCCTGCTGACTCTCTGCTTGTTGCTTACAGATTGGAGTCCTGATCACCTTCCTCCTGCTCCTGATTTTCTCCTCCAGCGTTGTCTTCTTGTTTGTGGGGACAGCATCTCTGGGTCTGTTTCTCAGCAGCACTTTCCCCAGCATGCTTGCCTACACTGAGGACATCCTGCAGTACAAAGGTGAGCAGGGATCTGGGCAGACCTGGCAGACTCTGAAAGCAGGCAGGTGTTCAAGCCTACAGCTCAGGTACAATGACACCCAGAAGTCCCTCCTCCTGCTTTAAAGATGCCTAGGAGGATTGGAAGAAAGGTCTGTTTTTGAATACCATCTTCATTTGAGCTTGTAGTTGGAAATGCTGACTGCACAAATCCCAGATTTGCTGCGCTAATAACTTCCACAGGCAGGGATCCAGACTGCTTCTTGGTTTCCTGCAGCTTCAGGGCTCTCAGACAAGAATGTCAGTTCTGAAAGCATCATCCAGGTTATCAGTGAACTGAAAATCCCAGAGCTTGGCCAGCTCCTACAGGAGGTCACTGCCAACCTCAGCCTCTGGGAGAGAGATACAGAAGAATGAAAATCTTTTCAGCAAGAAGCAACAGCACTTCTGCTGATGGGGACAAGTGACAGAACAGCTGGTTTTTGTATTAACATTTTTACTTCTCTTACTCCCACGAGTCAGTCTCACCGTTAGATGGAAACTTCCACTGAGTATTTCTCTGCAATTTAAAGTGGTTACAGGCTGGTCCTGCTGGCTGTCGCTCTCACTCGTGCTGTTTCTTTTCAGGCTGTGCCACGACTGTGTTAGTGACAGGAGCTGGAATTGGAGAGATGGTACTACAGCTGTTGGTGGGATCGGTAAGTGTGGGCAAAGGGAGAAGATGGGAAGTGCCAAAACCTGCCTGAACTTCACTAGAAATCTTAGTCCATGTTTTAGACAGCTGCTGCAAAAGCACTGTCTCACCCTTGAGCTATCAAAAAGTAAAGCTCTCACCAAATGCCAATTAGGTATTGAAATGCTATCATGACACGTCTGCTGCTTTTTCTTTTCTCTCCAATTGCAGATTATACATGATCAGGGCAGCTACAGCTTCCTGGTCTGCGGGATGATCTTTGGAGGCCTGGCCTTTACCTTCTATGCTTTCCTCTTGTTTTTCCACAGGATGTACCCCAAGCCCTCAACAGGTAAGAAAGCACCAGCACTCAGCCCTGCTTTATAATGAGAGGAAGAATGGCATATGCATCAACACATAAGCAGGGTGCAGCACTTCAGCAAAATGAAAGGAAATGTTTATTTTACTGCTGCTTCCTGTCCCCTCTTCCTGCTTTGACTTGCCCACAAAGCCTTGGCAGTCACAGCTCAGGGTTTGCTTTCTTTGCTGTTGGAGGAGCAAGGAAAAAAAAAAAAGGAACAATCTGTGGCTATCACAGAGGAGCTACAAAACAAATAGGATACTAGCTGTGCTAGCACCACTGTGCTACTGCATAGCTAGCAGGAGCAAGCCCTATTAGGACAGACTGCACACAACTGTTCCCTGGCTAAAACCCAGGGAGCAATTGTCTGCCATCCAAAGGGAGCTGTCAAGATTTCTCTTACCTGCTTTATCAGTCTACATGCACTATATTCCTTCTTTAAGCACCTCCTTTTACAAAAGGAGCAACTGCATGACAGGCAAATCACTGACCCAGGCTACTGGAAATCGAGGCCTTTCATCCACGATCAGCAAAGCAAAACAAGTGGGATGGGATGGATGATAGAAGTGGCAATTTCAGATGAAGTGCCTAATGTCCATTTTGCAGATATGGATGCTGTCTCACCTGACAAACCAGCAGTAATGGATGACACAGGACAGTATCAGCGCTGAAGAAGTGGCCGTGCCCTGGAAAAGCAATAAAACAGCACACAATTAAGCAGTACTATTATAAGGATGATTTTTGCACTTAATGACTAAATCATGCAAGTTTCCTACAATCAAAAGCACACTAGATTGGGTAAGTCAGAATCAAGAAAACAACCTCGAGCAACACAGCAAGCTCAGCACAAGTTGCCTGTGCCACGTGGACCAAAAAAGACTGTAAACATCAGAATGACCCTATACCCAAAAGGCTATGAATAGGGCAGGGATGATGCTGAACTCCTGCAAATGAGCTTTCACACAAATCCAGGATGGAGGGTGGGAACAAAGAAGTTCTATTTGTTCCAGATGTAGGACTTTGACCATCTCCTGGCTTAAGTCATTGAACTTGACACAGGTTTTTCTTCTGGTCTGTAAAGTACAGGAAGCCTTAAAAACATACAGCACAATACTGGCTTTTAATTCCTTCTTGGTGCAACATGGGAGTATATGCAATCACCAGGAATACTTCCAGAAAAATTATGCCATTGGTAGAACCCACCAAGTGCACAGTGGTAGCAGGATCTATCTATATTTGCACAGTTGATTCTTGTATAATACACAGCACCAGACCCATTCACTAAGACAGTGTCTTATTCAGCATGCTGGGGCCTCCTGATTATTAAAATCATTAGCTTTTTTTTTTTTTTAGAGTCAAGAATGAGTTATGAGTTGTGATGGTTTGTTTTGCTTTAAGTCGTTATTTTAGCTGCTACAGTTGCAGTGTTTTTTAGGGCAGTTTTATTTCTAGCTTCCAGTTGAAGCTTAAACAGAGGTATTTGGGAGCCAGACTCCAGCTGCTTAATCTGTGCAATACTTATTATAAAAGGTGCCTTCTGTAAGGTACTCTTATACCCCCATGCATGGCCTATTACAAGCGATGAAGAAAGGACTGGCTTTAAGAGAATGTAAAGCTACGTGCATCTATTTCTTCAGTGAGTGATTGGACATGTACTTTTTGCTTTAACTGCTGTAAGTGGATGTACATATGTACGTGTGTATATAAAGCTGTGTTTAATTAAAGGTGATTTATTGATTGCTAGATTCTCAGCATGACTGGACTCAGGTAACTGAAGCCCTCTGGGGGCCAGGACTATGCTACTACCTCCAACAGCTCTGCTCTCACATTTAGACTGAATCTAACAGCTGTTAAACCTTCCTTAGAATTTCTAAGCAGCTGCTCTTACCTTCCATCATTACCTTCTGTAGAAACCCTCTCTGAAGGGAAGTGTTGCTGACCTGCCCTTAACTCATGGCTGTACTTCAGGAGCCCTTCTCGTTGGCACCCAGAGCAGTAATTCTTCTCCAGAGCCACAGGATGTCACTGTTACTCTCCTTGACAGAGCTGGGATGAAAAAGAAGGGGTGAACTACCAGTCCTAGGAAAAAAAAGACTGTCATGACTAAAGCTCCTCCCCCTATGAGAGCATTCTCTCCATTGCTGGAGAGGAAATGAGCATGAAACAATAAACTGAGACAGTTCGTTTTGAAAGACATCATACCAAGTGCTGTCAGCTCATTAACAAAATTAAGTATCTGACCTATGGCTTTGCAGCTAAATGCAATTTTCAGAGCAGTGTTTCTTTTAGTTAAGGTGTGCTCTGCAACTCCAACTCCCACTTTGCCTTTATCACTGCATAAAGAAAGCAGCCACTCACCAAAAGATCTTCACCAGGAGGTGCAGGTAGCTGATCTGGCCCAAAGAGAGCCTGGCATTGCAAAGCTGGCATCAGCATCCCTGTCTCCATCCAAGCAAAACGTGAGGGATCCTCTGCTTCTGTGAACAAGACAGGTTAGCTCAAGGTCTGACCAACTCTCATTAGCACAGAGTCATTAGCACAGAGCACGTTGCCCCACAGCTGTAACTTTCAGTTTCCTCCACTGAAACAAAAAAAAGAAAAAACCAAACAGCCAAAAGATCAGGAACTTTGTTAAAAATATTTATTTAAAAAAATACAATTGTTTTGCATGTCTGGTTGCACATAACTATTAACATATGATTGACTTGAATAATTTGCTACAATGCTTTTTTAAAGCCAGCTTGCATTATACAAAGCAAATCTCTCTGTCAGTTCTTACATAAAATAGTTTTCTTTAACTATTCCCACCCTATTTAAAAAAAAAAAAAAATTGCAATACATGGATTTTTTTTTTTTTTTTTTGCACAAAAATTGAAGCAATAGAAAAGTCACCTGATTCCTCAGGAAAGACCTTCATTATGTTTGAATAAAAACTGCCAATGTGCTGCTCTGTAAAAGCAGCACGAGTCACTTTGAAGTCATTACAGTGCACTTCCTCCAAAACACGTTTTGCATCTCAGAACTTCACCCTCCAAATCGCAGCCAAACCTGAAATGTGTTCAAAGAACTGCATATGTACAAGGATTAAGTTGATCAGACTTTTTTTTCTTTTTTTCTCCCAACATGGTATCAACACGCTGAAGGTCTTCCTAATATGTTACCTTGGAAGGTTAAATAAAAGCAAATTTAGTAACACTGAACAATTACTGAAAACTTTGGCTATTTATGTACTTGCATTACATACCAGCATTTTATTTTTTAAACACAATGGCATTAAGATACTCTTATTATAAGGTATTATTTGTCTGAAGTAAGAAAGACTGAGAAGCTACTCTCTCCCAACTCTAACCAGAGCACCAAAGCAGTGCAAGGTCATTGCTGCCTCCAAACTCCAGGTTGTAGGATAAATCTCCAAGGTAGGAAGCACGCAGATGTTTGCTAGGACATAACTTTGCCTCTTGACTTGGCACTAAACACGTGTATCCAATGCAATTCTGTTCTGGAAAGAGTAACTGAAAACGTCATCTGCTGACTTCGTGTCATTTTAACCACTGATGTTTCTACTAAATTACAGGAAAATAAGAGAGGATCCACTTTTAGAGTTAGTGGTTGTCTCCTCAATCTGCCCCAAGCAGAAGAATCAGTGCTGCAGGAATATGAAAAACACTGCAGACATTCATTGTGCTCATCTACACAGAGCCCAGATTAACCTGAAAAAACCACTCGAGGAGCAGCACTAAAGGCATCAGAAAAACCACTTTCCAAAACAGATGTGCACTTGAAAAAGAAACAGAACGACAACAGCCAACCATCACCACTGCTGGTTTGGTTGCTTAAAGTCTCTCCCATTCAGCTGATGCTTTCCTCCCTGCCTCCAGCTGAGCCACAGGCAGAAAGCTGCAAGGAAGCAGAGCCTCAGCTGCTGCAACTCAGAGCAGTTCTGCTGCAGCCAATGGACCTTTCTTGCTTTACAAGCTCGTGGCACACGAGAGCTGCCTGCCATCAGCATGCCCTGTGTTCTCAGCAGTCCCAAGACAAAGCCCCATGCTGTGGTTACCTCCCCTGTTCAGTCACTGCAGCCTCAGATTGATTCCAGCTGTCCCAATACGCATGGCAGGAGACAACCACTATCTTTCCTATGCGTGTCACTTGAGCTTCCCTATTTATTTCATCTCTATTATTAAGAATACACTTCTCAGCTATAAAAACAGAGGGGTTGGGGGAGATAAGCATTAAATGTGCTACTGTACTTATCACAAAAACACTGTGACGTACATAAGGCCATCTGGTAACACTGCAACAGAATACAAACAAGATTTTCAAAGGGAGTTTTAGAATACATTTTTTTTTTTTTGCTTTTTTTTTTTCTTTCTTTTTTTTAAACTACAATGAATAATCTCAACCCTGTTCACGGAGAATTAACGTTAAAACTAAGTACATCATATATATAAAACCCTGTGCAACTGAACAACAGCAGAACGAAAAGTCAACACGATTCTCTAAAGCAGTTCCAAAGCCTGAAGAGTTAAGACATGCTAGCCAAAACAACCCACAACACAGCTCAAGGAGCCCAGAGCAAACCCAGGTATTGGACCCAGCACACAGCAGGATCCACGCAGAGCCCATCCTCACCACCTTCCTGTGTTCCAGAAAATAAGGAAAGGAAAAAAGACAACAACAACAAAAAAAAACAGCTTCCAGTTATTAGCACAGCACTGCTGCACGTAGTGCTCGAGGATGTGGGCTCCAAGCTGTGCTTTCCAACCTCCCTGCTGCACTGCTGACAGTTCTGTGTCTCCGTTACAAGACCCCTGTTTTCCAAATGCTGACAATTACACGTGGTGAGAAAGATGAAAGAAAAGCCCCAATTTTTGTTCCGTGTGCATAAAACCGTTCAAAGATCCGTTTAAGATGCTTCTTTTTCCAGGAAGCTGTGACATACAACAACACCAAGGATGCATTTGAAAAGAACCTTTGGCAATCCTTAGCCCACACTGTGGTGCAAGCAATTCGAGTGCTTCCAAGGGAAAAAGAAAAGCCCCTAGAAGCATCCACAGCACGTGCAAAACGTTTTAAAAGTGGCAACTGCATCGTGCAGTGTTTGCTCTGAGTGTACAAACCTGGAAGCTGCACTGCATCCTGAGCACAGGTCTCCTGGCAGTGAATAGGTGTGCACACGTATGTTTGTATGGAGAGAGCTGTTCAGCATCAGTGGAACAATGCATAGAGGAAACAAGCTGTACAAGTTGGCTTTTTTTTTTTCATTAGATGCCTGCAATTAAAATCTTCTACAACATTCTTTGGAAAGGGAGGGGGAATGAAAATCAATTCTAATCAGTTCTACTGCGTTTGGGAGAATAATTTATATGAATCTGACGTCTTGCTGTCTGAAAAGGGAAATACATTAGCATGCACATCCAAGCAGAAGCATGGGGCCAGCTTTCTTATCGTGAAGGTCACTTTTTAGGGGGGGGGGAGAAAGGAACAAACAAACCAAAAGAAGGATGGTGACAGTCAGCAAAGCAGCATCCTCCAGAAAGAACCAACTTCCTGCACTGCACATCTTCTCCCTTACGTCTGTTTGTTCTTTGTACAAATCAAGAATAACACTCCTCAGCTCTAGATCTACCAGAGATCCAAAACCAACACGCTCTCCTCCTGCTTCAGGCAGCACCAGGACCAACTCAGGGAATCTGTGCAAGGTCCAACAGTGATGCACAACAACAGACTGCAGAAACACTGCCATTAGTGCAGCTTTGCTGCCCTTAGATTGCATCCTTAGGACTAAAAGCCAGCTACAGAGAAAAGATTTAGTTCTATTTTCAGGAATATTTATTTCTCTGTTTGGAACCTGCTTTGTAGGGCTCCTGCAGAGTCAGTCCATAGGCTTTGCTCACTCCAAGTGGAACGCAGCGTCCAACAGATGTCAATCCAGGAAAAAGCCTTTGGCAGTAACAGCCCCAAAGAACTGGTGTAAAACAACTGTCACCACGTTTTATCTTTTAATCTTCATCTGACAGCCTCTGATTTCAGCAGATCAACTTTAGCACGGCACACATTCACTGCCACTCAACTTGATGGCAGTCGCCAAAGGCTCCACATGAAGCAGATCTGCTAATGCTGTTCAGACTAAACGGCAGCCGTTGCCAATTACTGCTTAATTAAACTCAAATCAAGCCACAAAAAATTCCTGTTTAGACAAGATGTACCACCCCTCATTACAGCACCCCGAATCGCTTCATAAGGAACACGACTGCAATTTTAATGGATTTTCATCTGATTTTCAGTGGATTTTCAACTGATCTGCTGAGCATAAATCCTGCGAGGGCTGTTTGCTATAAGATGCTCCAAAACTGCTCAGACAAAATAAGCCACCCATACCCAGGACCAGAAGATAAATCTATTTCCTACAGAGGTGAACTAAGGAACAAAACAGAAGATTGTCCCAGACACCCAAAACTCACACGTTGAGTTTGAAGGCACCTGGCCATGCTGACGACGTTCCTTAACTACTGATGTAGTTTATTTCATAGCTGGCAATGCCAAGATATTCTCTTGATACAACACTGAGATGCGTCTTGTAAACAAACACGCGTTCAAAATGGAAGAGGTTAAGTGGCAGAGTAAAATATGAGGACACAAAAAAAGCTATAAAACAGTAACAAAAATTAACTAAAAAAAATACATTGATAAACCACGGGTGGCCAACAGGCTGTCAGTTCTACGGGCTCCAAACCAAGCATAGGGAAAATGCTACAGAAGTGGAGCAGAACTCTGAAGCCATGCTTACCTTGGAGCTGCCTGGGTGTGCCAGGCAAGCTGCTGAAATCCTTGCACCCAAGCTGAAGTCACAGGGGATGGGGGATCTGACATCACACAACGCTTAGTGGTGGAAGATATGCACAAAAACAGCCCTCGTTGTGGTTAAAATGAACACTATTAAAAAAAAAACAACAACAACAAACCACAAGAATCTATCTGCTAGATATCCAAGGCCTGAAAAAGCTATCGGGAGGAACTATCCCAAACAAACTACTGAACAGCCAAAGCCTTTCCTGTGATAACACACTCCTTTCTAGCAAGGATGCACGGATACTGAAGCCTTAGGACACTCTGAGGGAACACAGTGAACTCCCAAATTTGAGGGATTTCATCACTTCCTGACCTACTGCAGAATGCAATGTGCCAAAGGCACTGCATAGGAATTCCATCCAGCCACCACTGCTGAAGACAGATTCCTGAAACAAGGCTCTGGGATTCCACTCTGTTAAGGAAAAAGCTTTCTTCTACCACCCTCATCACTGGGATCACGTTCTCTGAACAATGGAAGATGGAACAGGGAACGTTGTGTAAGTGTAGGGGATTATCAGCACAGTTCTGCTTCCCATGGATTGTCTGCTTGCAGCTAGTGGCATCCTGATGGTTCAGGTTCTCAAAAAAGACAGACATAGCACAGACAGCAGCACAAGCTTTGCAACTCTGCAGTACTATTATACAGCAGCAGTGACATTTAAAAGAGATTTCCAGAAGCAAGACAGATGTTCAGCTTCCATGCTCATCCAGTCTAATTCTACCACCACCTATGAATTAACCAATGCAAATACTATCAAAGCATTCAACAATACCACAGTTACTTCAGCAACATGAATTGCAATGTAACACAACGTTTTTTCTGTAATGCTGCACTATTTTTTTTTAAACCAACATGGTACTATACCCATATTACAAGCTGATAACGTGATAATTAAAGAAGAGCCTATACTAACCCACCTTCCCTATACTAAAAACAAGCTGCAATGAGCTGCAAACTGCTCCTGAATTGAGCCAGCAGAGCACCAGCAAGTCACATCACCGAGCTCTGAGGAATGTGATCCAAAAAAGCTGGCAGTTCTATGCTTGTTAATAAACATCTGCTTAACGAGGCAGCATATATACAATATTAAGTATTATCTTAAGTGACCTGAAGTGGGGAAAACGTCAGCAAGCCTCTCTCCCCGTGCCCAGTCTTACAGTTTGCTTTCCCAACTGCCTCCTGAGATTACAACCCCATGGGGGACTCCTGTTTTCCAAGGCAGGTGCCTAAGCAAAAGTAACCATCTTCTCACATCACCTGTCAGCAAGTTGGACACTACCAGGCTGAAATACAGAGAGGCTGCACTTTTCATAGCAACTTTCCCTAAGAAGGTATTCCTGAAGGTGAGCGTGCATCTCACAGCTATGGCAGTGCAATCTGCTGCAGCTACTTGGAGAACAGCATGAAACTAGGCCAAGCAAAAACTGACAAGCTCTATTAGTTAGCATTTGGTTCTCTTGCATATCTATGCTGAAAGTGATACAGTTTACAAAAAAAAAAAAAATTAAGTGCATGTGTGCACATACACAACTTTTAAACTAAAACTTGGCTTTTCTCCATAGGGGACAAGGAAAGGGAAGCAATTAAATTGCAAGTCTTTAGTGCTCATTAGTCATTTTTAAACTCTAATCCTAGTCTGCAATGTTGCTCTCAAATCCACACACACATTGGGCATAAAATTGGCCAACCTAAAACAACCATTAAAAGTGCTGCTATTTATATATAGCTATATATATTTTTCTAGAGCAAACTCATAAGCTATCATGCAAACCAGAAAATTCCACATGCCTGCTCTTAATTATGATCTGCAGGTTTCTCTCTGCATTTCAAAAAAAAAAAAAGTCAATATTGCACATTGTCATTTTAAGAGCCACTGGCACAGGAACTTTATCCTGTATCTGCTGATGTCTAAATGCAAAGCAGTATCACTCCTCCAATGAAACTCAACAGGAAGACAGTTCATTACACGAGCTCACTCCCTGCTACAAGCACCTGAAATAGGCACACTCTTTTCTCCCACTTGGCAGAGGACTTTCTGGATGAACAATGCCCCAAAAAGCAACTCCATTACACCCCACTCATGTCGAGGGTGCTGTATCAGCAACATACAAAGTGGTTCATTCAATGCTAGAATACAGAGAGAACGTCACTGCAGTAAATCAAGTCCTGGGTATTGTCATACGTATGCTTTAAAGTGAATTCAGTCTGCAAAAGTGGCAAAAGGAAAACTGTGGTAAGCCTGAGCTCACCGTTTCTCCATCAAACAGGTGTGCTATGTTAGAAGCACACTGCCAGCTCCTCGTGCTGTTAAGGTACAACCTTCCTCTGCTCATTAAAACTTCACAGCCAGCCACTGGGGTTACCAAAGGAAGGAGACGACCTCAAATCTGTTTTCTAGAAGTTATTTTATCAAGATTATCTTATGTCACTCAGCTCAACGTTGAGTGGCAAACAGAAGTTGCTGCCTGACAGCAGATGCCCCAAAGTGGAAGGGCACAGACTGAGACATCCCATCCCCTCTTCTTTCATTCCTCCGTTCTCTTAAAAGGCCTCCTGAGGTTTAAAAATCTAATTAAAAAAAAATTTCATCAGTGTTTCAAATGGCTCTGGAAACTCGTATTAATTCACACACACGTGGCCACCAAGGAAAGAAAAGCAAGTGCAAATTTACAGTGAGGTGGATACCCCTGGTACCTCTATCAGCTAGTGGTACACATTAAGCTTAACTTTCTCTGGGTCTGAGTGCTTCCTCAAATAATAATAATTAAAAAAAGTAATAGATTTAAAGCCAAACTCGAGATAAGAGCTGGGAAAAGCTTCTCCACTTCAAACTGTGGGGAAAAAAGCAGTAAAAACACTCAGACATCAGCGTTCTGACCCACTGCTTGGGGCTGAAAACGCAGCATCAGGCAGCAACCTCATGTCACAGCTAAAACCTCAACACCTCACGTAAAAATCCACCATTCTGCTCATCTTCCAGCACTGAGATTACAGGTCTCCGGTACAAGAAATGTTTGGACTTCAGCATTCAAACTTTCTGAGAACTGAAAAGAACTGATCCCACCATTTGTTTGTCTCCAGGCTTTGCCCCCTCACTGAAGGAGGGCTCGGAAGCATCCAGGAACCAAGCACTGCAAGGCTGGGCTCTCTGCATGCAGTGTCATTGAGAAATTGTCCACATCTCAGAAACACAATCATGGAGTATGCCTTGAAAATTTCTACCTGCAAAGAGACAAGATGTTTTTACAGCAGATAAGATGCGGGCTGTTTTGCTGCTGCAGAAGTTATCAGGCCCCAAGGCAAAGCTGAGTGCACACACACACTCCTTTCCCAAGCATCTCCTGCAATGCCAGCTTCGATCGTGATTAAATTTCTTCTTGCCAAGCACAGGAAGCAGAAGAACAGAGGTTTTTCCAAGAGTCACAGAGAAAAGACTTCTCTGATACTATTGACTGCAAACAGTGCAGACTCAGTTACTGCAACACCAACTGAAACTCCCTTTAACCATAGTGAAGTCTTCCAACCAAGGAGGGAAGAGACCGGAGCTTCAGCTCCTATTAAGGCATTTGCATAAACATTACCAATCTGGGTCTTCAAAAAACAGGAATTTTGCAAAAAAGGCATTTTTTTTTTTTATCTGGGAATGGCAAAAACTATGACTGCTGATAATCTCTGTGGAATTATAAATCGCTCTTTTAAAAAAAATCATGGTTAAATATAAGTGTCATCTCTTTTCCTTGCTTGCCAATATATGTCCTTTCCATGAGTTCATGTGCTATGTCTTCTGCAGATCAGGGGAAAATGGGCCAGGGGTAGAGGGTCCATCCAGTCCAGACAGTGTGAATGGGCCATGACTGTTCAGCACTGATGGAAACTAAGAGACAAAAAGAAAAGTGGTTGAGAAAGAGCATTTTAATTTAACTCTCCTCTCTAACTGTGCATAAAGAAGCTCCCCAGGAAACATACAAACAAACAAAAAAAACCTTTCAAAGAATCTTCCTGTCTTCCCCCAACTAATTACTTTTTAAATGCCACCACACCACAGATTGCACAACACCAGCCAGTGCTACAGGAGGGACACAGACTGCAGCCTCTGCAATGAGCACTGCCTATGTCCTAAACTAGTCATATCACAAGAAAATGACTTTATACAGGTTGTTGGGAAACAGTGTCCCATGTTGTTCTTCAATCAATTATCAGCTGTTTGCAGAGCAAAAGGTTACCAGGTACAAAAAGATCCCCTGAATTAAAGGAAACTTTTTAGTACTTCAAACTTGGAAAGACTGAGCAACCAAAGCATGACATATTTCATGACATATCATGAAATGCTTACTACTTAACTGCCTCACCTTATTAAACAGCAAATATTACTGCCCAAACTTGCCATCAGATTCTTGGGCTAACAGATCCCTACAGGTCTGCTGAAGAAAGCACTGATAAGTATGGCTCAGAGATGGGCTGAACTTGCTGGAACTTACCTGAAAAAGCGTATTAGCACCTTGCAACCTTGCAGGACTGAGAGGAGCAACTGGGCTGAGGGTACTCCAGAAATGAATACTGGAGAGCAAGGGACTTGGGGTCAGCAAGATGGGAGTCTGCAAAACACACAAAGACAGTCAGTCGTGCGAAAGCTGCTCTTGGAGTAATGCACTGCATATGTAAATCTGGCCACAGTAATCCAGCTCCTCCAGCTGCAGAGGGCTGGATCCCATTTTAGGAACTCCCATTCTCTCCTTCTGCCTCCTCCCACCTCCTCCTCTTCCCTTCAAACCCCACAGCAGCAGCAGCCATCAGTTCTCCCTCCCCTTTCTTAGCAACTGGCCCTCTTCTCCCAGCAGCTGCCAAATCCTGCTGTAACCTACAGCAAATTGCCTTCTCCTGCAATTCTTATACAGCACCTGCAAGTGACTTTGGAGAACAGAATCACAGAATGGCTCACAGAACTCAGCTTATGAATTTAAAATGAGCAGACAGCGGGCACACACATGGTCTGAGTGACATGGGGGATGTAAGCTACAACAAAAGAAATGCACACCCAGCTTCTGAATGCTCTGGATGTTCCAGGTTTACAAGCCAAACACTCTGAAGGGTTCCAAAAGTGCAACTGCACTCTGTTTTTCTCCTGTCTTCAGCTATTTCAATTTTCTATCAGCAGTTTCCCTGCAGTCTAACTCCAATTTATTACAGGAAGGAGATTAAATGTATACAGAACAATATAACAGCATAGTTGGATCCAGTTCTCTTCCAAATTTTCCATGAGGAATGAAAGCTTTCCTTTCCCACGCGCTGAGAACAACCAAATTATGCAGCCATTGTTATCACATTAAATCACATTATTCTGGTTTTAATGGCTACTAAATCAAGTGAAAGAACATTGCTGAACGCACACCTGTTTTTAAAGGAATTTCAGAATCAACCTGAAGGATTTCAAAACGCTTTGGAAATAATTCAGTGTCACTCTGGAACATTTACAAAGGATCCTTATAGTGTTGGTTTGGTTCATCTGCCCTCCCTTCCTGCCTTACAGTGTAACACAACCACTACTGTTACTTAAAAAAAGGAAAAAAAAGAGGTGGGGGAATTGAGTTACCTGGGAGAAAAGTGCTGGAGTAAGAGAAGCAGTGGGGAGGGAAGGGCTCAGTATTCCCAATGGACTTGGATCACTGCCTGTAATGACGAGAGTAGGAGCCAACTCCAGCCCTTTGGGTTTTTTAGATCTGGAGAGGTGATTGGCAAATTCCTTCTCCAGAACAGATGAATCCTGCTCTTTGGGCTCTGGGGATTGATGCTGAAGGCTCTGAGCCTGCTCCAGCTGCTGAGAAGCCACTGATTCTATGTCCGTGTCAATGTCCAGGTCAGGATTAGAACTCAGGGGCGGCGATGGGGGGGTGGAAGGAACTTGCAGAACGGGAGAAACCGAGGATACAGGTGGAGTCGGGGTAAAGCTGGTGGTCAAGTTTGGCAAAGGTGCTGGAGCTTCAGGGATAGTTAACTTGGGGAGAACAAGAGTCTCCAAGGTCTGCAGAGTTTCTTCTGATCCCATGGGAAGAGAGGATGCAGTCGAGGTGGCAGAAGCAGTGGATGTAGCAGAGACTGTCGAAGTGGTGGCGATCAGGGGGACGGATGAAGGCTTTTTGGAGGGCATGGTGACAAACTTGATGACAGACGGCGTTGGATCCTGAGCAGCTTTCTTCTCTGTCAGTTTCTCAGCTGGATTCTCAATCTTGATGGACCTGAAGAGTTTGACGTTGGAAGAGTTCAGGGAGTTCAGCGTAAAAGAGGAGTACAAGCCTGAGTGGATGTAGTCGTTACGGCTGGAGGATTTAGCACACGACTGAGACTTCTCCTTCCCACAGCTTTCCACATCCTTTGGAGCACTGCTCACCTCTGCAAAGCTGGTCAGTTCAGGCTCTCCTTCTATCCGGCCCACGACAAGTGGATCCATTTTTAAGATCTCCGGATAAGAAACAAACTTGTACACAAACTTCTTACCATTCACTTTTTTAATGATATTCTGTGGGTAAGAAGATAGGTATTTTTAGCTCTTCTTTAGATTCATTTTCCTGCTACAAACTCTGCCTAAAATAGACCGAGGAATTCAATACTTTGTCATCTTTCAATAGAATTTTTTTTTTCTTTTGTTTTAAACACACTGCATTCTTGCAATACTTCTGCCAAAATATCATTTCCAGAGCTCACAGACACAACAGGTGAGGCTCAAACTGACCTCAACACAACCAAAGCAACCCTAAGACAGCAGAGCAATTCTGTTTCCAATATTTAAGATGATCCACTAGGAAACAAAGATACCACCACTGAAGTTAAGGTCAGTGCTCTGGGCACTGCAAGCATAATCTAAGAGAACACACAAAATTAAGGCTTACGAGGTTTGCAGAATTGATGCCTAATACAGTAAATCAAACCACCCTTGTTCTTAGTGAGATGATAATAAAAGAAAGCAGCAGAACGTGGGCTTATCAGCTATCTTAATATCACAAACTCTGTCAAACTTGCTTGGTTCCTCACCAAAATGCCACACACAGTTTGGGTCACAGAAGATGCTGATTTATTGTACAGTTATTATTTCCGTGACCTCATGGTGCAAAGTCAGATGAGGGAAATTGTGCTGCCTGCTATTAAACTCCAAGCACCACACTGCACCCCACGATCTGACAGCTTCTTCAGAAACCTTTTTTTTTAATCTCATACACCCACATAACAACAGTTGTGGGATAAATGGCTCACTGGAAGGATATTGAAATGAAGGTAACAATCCCACACTGTGGTTCCAGTTCAGCTTTTTGACACTACTCGTGTTCTTACAAGTTCTTTGAAGACATCAGCTTCAGAAGAGAAGCACCTCACTCTGCTGGACTAAACTCAGTCTCCTCAGCAGAGGTGCATTTCTGAACACAAGAATGAAAACAAAGAACCTCTGAGCTACCATGCTGGAAATCCCTATTTCGACAGCCCCTTCATAGAGACAATTAGAGAAAAGGTTTCAATGGAAAGGAGAATATTACTCACAGAAGGATAATAGCAAAGACATAAATTAAAGAGGAAAACGTTTTGCATAAAGCCATCCAGAACCTTATAAAATAACCACTGGGGAGGAACCAGGCGTGAGGATAAACAAAAGGAAAAAGAAAAACCTCTAAACTTAAGCCAGTGCACCTCACTTAACTCTTGGAGCCAGAAGTGACACCTATCCCCTTGAAGAGAATGAAAAAGGAAACAAAGCTCATTAGGCAGAAGCTGATAAGATGGATAAGGATTTCAGGTGGATTTATGGACTTTGTTACCTTCACATAATAGTATCTGAGAGCACGACTGAGTTTATCATAGTTCATGCTGGGCTTGTTCTTGCGGATTCCCCACAGTCTGGCCACCTCCTCTGCCTGCTGCAGTTTGAACTCCCCGTCATTGGAGGTCCAACAGATGATATTCTTGTTCTGAGGCTCTTTCAGGAGTTGGAGGAGGAACTGCCACAGGGTGATAGCACTGTCCATAGCAGTAAGCTGAAATGCAGAGAAAAAGCAACAGATTAGGAACGGTGCATCTTCTGCGTCTCCCTAGAAGGAGGGTGAGGGCACAGAGATGTTATTTCCAAAGGCAGCAAGAGTAAAAAATTATTAGTCACCAGTCGTGAAAGATGTTCCCTGCAGAACAGGGAGGCTGAGAGCCAACTGCTATCGTCTCCTCCTACATGTCAGTCCTTTTCACATGGGTTATATTTAGCCTCATTTAACTAAATCAGGTCATTTTGGGTAAGTTGCAATGAGTCATTACCCAAAAAAAAAAAAAAAAAAGAAAAACCAACCCAAAAAATGAAAACCACCCCAATTCTTAGTTGTTCCACGTTCACCCGTTCTGAGTTGTATTGAGGAACAGCTCAGGTGCACTCCGGTAAAAATCAAACCACCTCCTCCCTTCCTACCCACTCACCTGCAGCCTCCTCCTTCAGCTGCCTGAAGATGTCACTGTAAAGAACAACCCAGCCTTCCTCCAGTTCACGTTTCTAACATCCCTCCCAACCAACCAACCCCCAACCTGCTCTCTCATCTTTATTTTTGCAATTTTCATCCCTTTCATAAGAAATTAAGCAAAGAAAAAAAAAAAGAAAGAAGCAAATACAATTTCAAACACCGACTTGGCTTTTCAAGGCTGAGGTCTTTTAGGACCAGTGTCACTCCAGCACGGATTTCCTGCACTGTATGGGATGTACAGGCACCAGTACAGACATGGAGGTCACTCCCTCACTACATCTGCCTATATGAGGTGATGTTTCCACCAAAATTTAAGTGGAAGCATCACCTCATATAGGCAGATGTGGTGAGGGAATGACCTCCATGTCTGTACTGGTGATAATAATCCTGTCCGTACAAAGGAATTATAAGCCAGGCTGTGAATTAAAACAGCTAGAATGATATTAATGCAGCATCCCATATGGATTCTCTTATCCCACAACACGTGGCTTCTCTCCATACAGCTTCAACTTCTTCCAATGTAACAAAAACAAACACGGCTGCTCTGCAATAAGAGCCTTCCCAAAGAACTGTGCTGGATGTGCGCCCTGCTACATTTCCCCCTAACCCCAACCCTCCATAAAGGCCAACTTAAATGGCACAGGGGCTCCTATTGGGGTGAGTGCAGCTCTGGATACCAAGTGCTGTTGGCAGGAGGAGGCTCTGAAGGCTCGCAGCCCCAGCAAGGACTCGTGTCTGTGTTGTTGAGGTCCGTGTTGTTGAGGTCCATGCACACACAGGGCTAAGTTTGAGATCCAGGCAGGACTGCCAGTTTGTCCTCATTACCAAAGCCTTTATTCCAATCTCGTTACTGCCCAGCACTTAGCAAGCCCTAAATAAGGAAGAGAACAGTCTACATGTCAGAGCCTCAGAATCCAGTCAGCCCTGAAAAAGGATTACTGCTGACAGTTTACATGGGACCAAGCATTCCTATTTTAAATCAGGTGCCCTGGGGCAGGTATTCTTTTTGGGCAGAGCCCATTGCATTTAACCTATTTTCACAAATACCTGCCTGATGGCACACTGACATGATGTTACATTGATCAACTCGGTTAAATTGCTGCAATTACAGGGAACAATCTCAAAATGAAGGACACCCACACCACCTAGTTATGCTGGCCTAAGGTGCTTTCCTCGTTAATTACTGATGAGTACAGCTCCGCGCCTGCCCAAATTAATTGCTGAGCACTCTAAGAAGACATCAGCTGCTGAGCTGGTCCTGCAGCACGGAGCTGTGGGGCAGGGAATGGAGTTAAAGCCCTCCCAGCTCTCTGCTGTGCACTTTGCCAATGCCATTTCCTACGGAGCATCACCAGCACAGCCTCATTATCCTGTCAGGATGATGCACACGCACGGGGTGTTGTGTAGACATAAGGACTTGATTCTACCATTCTACAGAGCTGTCAATACCCGTGATAAGTGTTAACAGAGAAAGAGCAGGAAAATGAAGTTGAGTGATTATTCCCACGCTACGTTTATCTGCAGCAGCTTCAAAGCCCATAAGCAGCACTGCACCAAACAGCGCTGAGCGATGCAACGGGAGGTAATCACACAGAAATTAGATTAGCAGGAGAATATCGGGGAGGCAAAGGCTTTTTCTCCTCCTAAAAACCTGTGATGATTGCATCCCCGAATTGAAATGCCGTGTAATTTCAGTGGTGTGCTTCCCTTTAGTAAGAAGCACTTTGCTGTCATTATCGGAAAGCTCTCCGACCTTACTGCAGTCACAGCATCGCCTGGCTCATGGCTGGAGCAGAGCTGAGATGCACACAACTGTGCTCCCGTGGCACAAACAGCAGCACAGCACACACACCTGGATTGAACAGAAGGATAGATTTGTTAAAAACCACCTTCAGAGCAATGTGCCACGTTATCCTGAGCAGCATCGAGCAGCACAACACCAGGGCTCCTCGCTGGCATCACAATCTCTGCATACAGCACAGCTTTATGGCTGGAGGAATTCCCCCCCCCAAGGGGCACAGCCATGACTACAGCAAACATCGGATGCATCCAGCTGCTACCAACACTCCTGGAGTCACAGGTTTCAGCACTCTGTGCCATTCCTTCCATCATTTCATCAAGGATGCAGCGCGGCATCGTGCACGGACAGGTTATGTTGCAGATGAACACCCCTCTTCATTCATTATTTATTGCACACACCTACAGGAAACAACGGAGCGACACCTGAATGTATCCAGGAGCTTGTCCTGATTAGATATAAAGGGAAATAATAACCCTGCAACTTGGCTAAAGCAATGGTACAGGTGGGCAGGTACACATGGAGACCTGGAGCAACTGGGAAAGAGTAACACATCCACAGGAGAACGTGGTGCTATGAACAAAGGCACATCTAATTTAACTTTATTAAACTTGCCTTGATGAGAACACAAAGAACTGCTGCTTCACCAGGAAGAAGTGGGAGAAAGTAAAACCAAACCAAAACATCACACGGGATGTAAAATTAACAGCAGCGCAGCCGACCTGCGTGCGACTTCAGAAAACCCAAAGGATGCATTCAGCATCAATTCCTCCTTCTGCAGCTGGGGCAGGAGGATGGAAACCCACCACCCCACTCTCACATTGCTGAGATGCTGCTCCTCCTGTAGCTCCTATGGAACATCTCAACTTCTTCCAGATGCATGGCCCTGCCTCTGAAAGCCATCAGTTTGCAGCACAGCTCCCATCAGCAGAAAAAGCCTCCTTGTCTGATTGCTTTTCCTTCGAGATGATTGTGCTGATAATTACAAGCACGCCACTGAAAAACTGCCTTTTAGCTGAAGGTTATTTGCCTTGCAAGAGTCCACAGAGAAGGAAAAAGGTCTCACACGAAAAGACAAAGAGGGAATTAAGCAGACAGGCAACAGCACTGTTTATGACAACAGCCTTCCCACTTCTGCACCATTTGAGTACGAGGAAAAAATAGTTGCTAGAGGCAGAGGGCAGTTATACTTTGTAATGAGGATGCTAAAATAGAGCACTATTATTGTCTTGAGATCTTCTCTGACGCCTACAGATGACCCTTGAAGCACACAGAGGAGCTGACAGCATTTGGCTGCACTTTTCTAAATAGGAGCGCTGCAAAGCGGAGCTTTCTCGTGTTGCTGAGGCTCTGTTTGAGGCCTTGACAAAGGTACAAAGCCTCACGTTTACATGAGAGCTGGGACACGAGATACGCATCTTTTCCAGCGACTTCTCATCCATCTATGCCACAGTCCGGGTGATTACAGAGCCTCGGGGCTCTGCATCATTTGTGGCAGGCAGCGTGCAATTGCTGGGTGGCACGGCTTCGGAAGTGGCACAGGGCAATCTGTGCTGCAGCCACAGATCTACTCACCATTGCAGAACAACCTTCAGCATTCAGCCCCGAGGGAGGAGGAACCCAGAGGAGCTCCAGCAAGGCAGGTCTGTATCCCCCCCCCCCCCCCCCCCATACACCCCCCAATCTTCGAGGTCTTCTGGCACGTTTCCTGTGTTTGACTCAGCCCTGAGAACAGCTCGAGTAATCCTTCGCCTCGGCATGTTTCCTTATCAGCAGCTGCAGGCTGATGACTTCTGCAGATGGACTGATTACAGCAGTCAGAGCTGCAACCTCGTCAGAATCCCCCCACAAAGGCAACGCACAGCAAAAAGGAGAGGGAGGAAGAAGGCTGTCCCACACAGCGAGGACAAAACCATCACCTGCAGGCACTTAATTGGCACCCACACAGCTGCCCGGACACTGGCACAGAAGCAGCATCTCCAAAGAACCAGCAGAGCAGCACAGATCAGCAGCAGAGCCACCGGGTGACAATGCCACAAAAAGATGCTGCTCAAAGATTGCCAGCAAGAAAACCAGCGCTGCGTATGCGTGTGCCAACCACAAGGCACAGACATCTGCCAGGAGAGAGTGAAACCACTCTGCAGGGCTCCTGTTCAAAAATTATTCTAATAAAACAGCAGCAACAAGTTGGAGGTGGTCTTTGGGACCTCGTGCTAACAGTGCAGTCAGACACGCAGCAAGCGTGCAAACGAAGCCCTTGTGCTGCAACAGGAAGCTGCACTTGCTGCCTTGCTTTGCATGGCCACTCTGCACACAAGACAGCAAAAGCTGAGCTGCTAGGGCTGCACTGTACCATTCCCCAGTGTTTCTAATGGCTGAAGATGGCCACGGCGTGCAAACAGAAGGAATGTGCAGACAACAACCCCTGTGCAACGTTGTGCAACGCTCCTGCACAGACACGGCCTTTGATGGTTGTTCCAGGAAAACAAACAAACAAATAATAATAAAAAAAAAGCAACACAGAGCACTGAGATTAAAGGAGATCTCTGGAGGTCACAGGCCCAGACAGGGTTAACCTCAAGGTAAGATCATGCAGTTAGTGTCTGCAGCCAAAAGAACAAGTAAATAGCCACTCCATTCCCCCTACTCCTTGCATTGTAGTAAAAGGACAAGAGCTGTAACATCACTGATGAAATATCTAATTAAGCAGTCATCAACACACAATCAAGCAACAGTTTCATTAGCGCAGCACTTGAAATATCCCATTACCAACAAATCTCTCACGAAACACTTGCAAGCTCCTGGGAAAGTGATTCACCTCAACTATTACCTTCAGCACTTTATCAATTTGGATTAATTTTAGTGCATACAAAACCAAAAGTCAGCTTCCCCCTGGGAGGGGGGCTGGCAACAGCATCCAGCCCTCACCAGAAACACACACAGCACCATAAGGACTCCTTAACTCCTTCTGTCACTGTCTTGGTAGCTTCATTCCCAAAGCCAAAAGCCCAAAGTTGCCACATGTAAGGAATTCACCTAAACCTGCAGCTTGCCACATCGGTGCCTCCATCACTAAGAACATAGAAAACCCTTTCCAAGGAGCATCCAGACCACAAAAATCAGGTTAGAATAAGAAACAAACAGTGAGAAAACAAGTCCAGGCTTCAACAGGTTGCAGCCCTCCCTTCAGCCCTGGCAGGAAAAAGCAGCACAGCTCTCAGGGCAGGAAGCACTGGGAAGGAAGCACCAGAGGATGTCCTCTTGATAAGCACTGCTCCTCAGCTTCCCTCCCCTCATCCCTCTCCAAGTCCAACAGTCCTATTTACTTAAACCAAACGCTGCACTCCATTTTGCACTCTTGGCTCAAAAACTGAGCTGTGAGTTTATCTTCTGATGCCTTGATTTCTTAAATTTTGAGCTTTGGGAGCAGTTTGTTTCATCGCTGTTTTGTTTCATCATTTTACCTCCTGTCTGAAAAAAAAAAAAAATAAATGAGACCTTCCTACCCTAAGCGAGCATTTTCTGGTCTCCACCTCTCAGCTGCGTGCTCAGGATAAATAGAATGGCAAACTTAAACCAAGGCAGAGCCTGTGATTGGTTTCTATCACTGACGTGACTGTTTCTGAGTAAGCCACAGAAACACGTATTTCGACGAAAATGCCTCTTTAAGTAGATTACACGCTTGCTTCCTCCTTATTTGCCACCACAACGGGCTGAAGGGAATGTTTACCAACAGCAGATGACATCGGCTTCCATAGCATCATACAACAGCATCCCTGCTGGGCAGGCCTGCGCATCACTGAGCCCTGAACAACAGGTCCCATGTATTCTGCTGACCCTAACCTTATTACCGACAGGAAGCCTCGTTTAAGATGGAAAAGGTTTCCTTTCATAATGTTTATAATACACTCAGCCCCGTTGCTATGACGATGGAACAACTCCTCTCTCCAAACAGGCTCTGGGACCCTAAAAATAAACAGGCGAGCCGAAATCACGACGGCGCAGTTTGTAGGGAGGGCTGTGCTGGTGCAAGCAGATTGGGGAGAGAGGGGAGGAAGGGGGGAAAAAGCAAAGCTAACGACCAAACTCTGCACCCAGCAGCACAGAGCGTGCAGTTCTGCGGTTCTCTCCGCTGCTGCTTCAAAAACAAAGCAGCCGAGCTGATGCTGCGTGGCCCCCAACGTGATGGGGGCAGGCTGTAGAACGGAGCGGGTTGGAGGAAGTCTCGGCCGTGCAAAGGAGGTGAGCGTTGTGTAATGGGTGCGTAAAGCCGGGCGGGTGTAAAGAGGCGTGCAAATAACACGAGCAACAGCGGCGGATTTGCATACTTTCTCCACGGATTCACCCATTGATGTGGGCAGCATCCGCCCATCTGGCGAGGAGAAGAGAGGAGAAGAGGCTGAGGGAAACCGTGGCGGAGTTGGGAGGGGGGGGAAAAAAAAATATATATATGATAAAATATAAAAACCCAACGCAGAGCGTCGGATGGAACCGCAGCCTCCTCCCAACCGCACAGCACCGCAAACGTCGGAATCCCGAACGGCACAGCGCTACGGCGATCCGCGATTCCCAGAGCCGCGTTCAAAGCGGGTCGGACAGAAAACGGACAGAAAACGGACAGAAAACGGACCCCTCCCCCCCCCCGCACCGCCGCTTTCCCTTCCCGACTTCCTGACCCCCCCCACAGCCGGCTGCCCCCCCAGCACCGCTCCCTTCCCCCCCCCCCAGGTCCCCCCGCCGCCCCCCCAGCGCTCACCGAGGAGGAGCCCCGCCGATCCCCGGACGTCGCGGTCCCGTCGCGGCGGGCAGGTGCTGGGAGCGGCCCCCCCGCCGCCCTTCATGGCCGGGAGCCCCCTCGGCGGGCCGGGTGCCGGACCCCCATCCCTGAGAGGGAGGAGCCGGGCGAGCAGCGAAGGACAGCGGTGCGGTAGAACAGGAGGAGGCGGCGGGGAGCGGCGGCGCGTTACATGGCGGGACGCGAAGCGCCAACCTCAACGCCGCGGAGCCACGGCGGCCGCCGTACGCCACACTTCCGCCCACGGCTCCGCTGAGGGACGCGGAGGGTCCGAAGGCGGCGACCAATCGCCGCGCAGAGCGGGGGCGACGCCGACCAATAGGGGAGGAGGTAGCCGCCCACCCGCCGCAATGCCTCGTGGGAAGTGTAGTCCGCGCCGCCCCGCGCTCGCAGCCATGTGCCCGCAAGTCGGTTCCAAGGCTGCCGCCTCTCGCCGGGTTGAGCCGGGAGAGAAACGGGACCCGGTCACAGCTGGTGCGGGATGCTTGAGCTGCTTGAGCGGAAGGGAAGCGGAGGGTAAACGCGGAAATAAGTTTAAAACAAAAGAAATCGCTGTGGTTCTCCGGGCAGAGATGTGGCGGAGGGGAGACGGTGGCACTCCTAAAGCAGAAAGGCTGAAGGTGTACCCCAAAATGAAGAAGGTGGGGGAAAAAAAAACACACAAAGGCTTTCCAAGGGGTAACGGAGCGGGAAGAGCTGCAGGGACCCGGCTCACCTCTACCAAGAGAGATCCAGCAGGGCAGCCCAATCCCATCAGCTCTTCCAGTGCTGGTAGTGATGATGAGGAGAGCTGCAGTTCTACCCGAGCTCGGGCACAGCATGTGGCCACTTCGAACCATTTTGGCTGGAAATGGTTGTTTATGGCCAACCCTGGGAGCACAGAGGAGAGGCAATCGCTGTGCCACCAGAAGGGGTGGACCCTGGGTCTCCTAACTAATCCCTCCTGATTTCATTTAGGGGCTGGTAACAAATAGGGAAGTATCTCTACTTGGAAATCATCTCCCTTTGGAATTTCTGATGAGCCCTGATCTTTGGAAAGGCTGAATTACTGAATTGTGAGCACTACCTTTCTTGTTAAGATTAAAGGCAACTGTCCTCACAGAGGCTACGAGAAAGAAGCGGACAGACTCTTTAGCAGAACCTGTTGTGATACGACAAGGAGAAATGATTTCAAACTAAAATTAGGGACAGTTAAATTGGATGTGAGAGAAAAGCTTTTTTTCTAATAAGTGTAGTGAAGCACTGGAACGGGTTGCACAGATTTGTGGTGGATATTGAGCCTCTGGAGATGTTCAAGGTCAGGCTGGATGGGCTCTAGCTGCTGATGTCCCTGTTCATTACGGGAAAGTTGGACGAGAAGATCTTTAAAGATCCTTTAGCAACTCAAATGATACTACAAGGATACTATTATGAAAAGACCATCTGCCCCACTTGGGACAGCCCCACCTGGAACATTCCCTGCAGACATCCTCTATTCCCAAACCTTTCCCGTGGTTCTCACTCCAGTAGCAAAAGCACAACCCTACAGCACTCCTAGAGCTGAGCAGAAGTGATGGGGGATCACAGAGAGCAGACAGCACACAGCAGGAGCCTTAATCACACTGAAGCTCATTAAAGCAGCCCATGCACACACTCCAGTCCCCAGGAAACTGCCCACTGTGGTCAGCTGCTGCTCGGCCTGCAGCAGCACACAGATGAGTGGTGATTGCCCTGAGTTAAGCCCTAAGAAAGCACATTGTGGACCAGCTGGAGAGCGGAGATTTCCCCATTGGATTTGGCACTGGGAGCAGCAGTGAAATGCCACAAAGGCAGTGCTCTCCCCAAAGCACACACAGCCTCAAGATTCCCACCCACTGGCAGAGGAAAACAAAAAACTAAGCTGCACTCCACTGTCAAACACCCCACATGCCAAAACATGCAACCCTCAGGTTTCCAGATACGTGCCAGCAAGAGGTGAGATGTGTTTGTACAAAGTCCTCCGTGCACATTTCACCTAATTGCCTTCTCACCAACCTGCCTGCTGCTCATTTTTTGTTTGGGATGTGCCATCACCCCAAACACACAAGAAGGCGTTGCTGAGATCCCAGCTGAGCCCAAGCACCTCCAGCTGCAATCAGTGCTGTTTCTATGAAGGCAAGTTCTGTGTTGTTACAGCCCATCTCCTTCAGCTGGTCCCACTCAAATGAAGTGAAAGGACCAAGATGGGGAGCAATGTTTTGTTTCACCATGCCTTTAATGGCATTTACTGCTCAAGGTACAGGAGATGGGAGGGGAGGTGAAAGCCAGGGATATAATGAAGCTCAGGGACAACAGAACCCGAGGTGTCACTCAAGATGTCATCTGACCACAGCTTACAGGGATGAAGCACGGGGTCCTTCTGCAAAGCATGGGAAGAAGGGAAGCTTTTAAACCAAGCTGCTGACCATTATCTATTTACTTACACAAATTAACCATCTGATAGATAGTGTGAAAAAGAGTGGGCAGGGAGGGGAAGCACTGCATCTCCTGCACTCCAGGTGACTCAAACACAACTAATGCTCCACAAGTGATGTGCTAACAAACCTTGGGCTCCCTCTGTGCTCCACGCTGACTGCTTGCTGTGTTTGGAGCTTGGGCTCCTTCAACCACCACGAGCCAGGGAAACAAAGAAAGAAGAAAATAAAGACGAGTCCTGCGCTCTATCAGACTCTTCCTGTAGGGTCACAGATGGGAGGTTTGCCAACATCTGCTCGTGTGTACCTCAAACAGAGCTCAATCCATTTGTTTGGGGAAGGAGGAGCACCCAGGTTCACACATGTTGCTCAGATCTCCTGGATCCGGCTGCTTTCTGCCCCAACCCCTTCCACTTATCAGCATAATATCTCTCCCCATATTGATGTGCTCTGATAGGAAACCATGTATGAGCTGCACCCCAAAATGTGCTCTGATAGGAAACCATGTATGAGCTGCACCCCAAAAGGCACTGGGGGTTTTCCAAGCAAACCCTCCTGCATTGTGCCCTGCCATCTACGTGGCCTCAGCTGCAGCTCAGTGCCTGTGACAGCTTCACTGAGAAACAGCCCCAAAGGGTCTTTCCTAGAGAGGGAGAATAAATTTCCTGCTTTGTGCAACTCTCATTTTGTTCTGCTTCCCCTGTCGTGGGTTTGCAAGCGAACGTGGGTTTGTTCCCATCTTAGACAACATCACAAGGGGGAAAATATGTAGGACAAAGGGATGGGATGAAATAGCGCAGGCAAGCAGGCAGGTCTTAGAAAAAGCTCATACGTAAAGATGCTTTAAAAAGAAGCACTCAAGCAACAGTGTTTTAAAGGGGAAGAGACAGCAAAAAGAGAAGTCAGAGTGGGGCTGCTGGTGAAGGTCGGTTGTATTGGGATACAGATGTCCAGAGTGTCATGGAATCGTTATGATTGGAAAAGACCACCAAGTCCAACCATCAACCCCTCCCCACCATTTTGTCTTAATTGTTGCCAAGCTGGAGGCAAGGACAAAGCTGGGAAGTGAAATGTAGCTGTTGGCCGTAGGGAAACACCGGGCAGCCCAAGAGGAGAAGCGCAGAGATTGCTAAATCACCTGATAAAGAGAAATCTCACTGCGTGGCTCTGACTTTGCATCACGTGTGGTTGGTTGAGATGGTGCTGGGAGCAGAGCTATACGAAGCTATAGGCTGCCATGGGAGCTGCAGGGCCGCATGAGGACCCCCATCTGTCCCCTCTTCTCCAGCCCAAACAATCCCATGGACCTCACACCTCCTGCCTGGACACAGTGGGGATGGACACAGTGGAAGCTCATCATGCTTTCAACCATAGGGACAGCAGATCTGGATGCTGATGCCCACCTCACTGAGACGTGCCAGCTTGTTGGCGAGGCCTTGATGGTGCTGGTCATCAACCTGATGGGTTTATAGCAGAAAAAAAGGGGCAGCAAACACACAGCAGAGCCCCCTATTCAGCCTCCAGCCCCTTGCACAGTGTCACCCTCCACGTCCCTCCTGCACACCCTGGGACAGCAGTGCTGCAGTGGGCTGCAGCGTGGGGCTGCCTGCTGCTATATCCAGAGTAAATTCATCCCTGTATCCAGGCGGACAGATTTAGAAACGTCGCCTGAATTTCTCTTTGTGCTCTTCCCACATCCTGCCCTGCTACAACTCCTGCCTGCTTGCATTTAATTTCCTAAAGAGCAGCGCTTAGCAACCTGACAGCCTTCTCACTGCGAGCAGATCCTCCCATCCCCTCCCATCACCAGCAGGGCAGACGTGCAGCCCAGCTCAGCACAGAGCTGGGGTATAAACCCAGCAGCCCCAGTGACACATGTATGAGATGCATCTCAGCACCTCCAAGCATAGTTTTATCTGTGGGAAGGCAGAAGGGTCCCCTCTTCCTCGTTCCTCCCATTGCCACAGCTCTCATCTGTACTTCCACAAAGCGTTTCTGCTGCAGACTAATATCCTCACTGGAGCAAAGGACGGGTAATTACAGAGCCTTCAGTAAACCTTCTAAGCCAGTCATCCAAAGTCCCCAGAGGGAAGCAGGTGAGACTATAACACACACTGCTCAAGAGATATGTATCTGGACTATTTTATTTTATAAAAATCTCTCCCCTCCCTTTGCGGTCTGCTTAAAAGAGATGGCAAAACAAACCAGGTGAGCAGCAAGCCAGCACCGCCAGCACTCCCAGCCCCGTCTTCCATGGCAGATCCACCCCGTGCATCTGCTCAGCAAATCGCTGCTGCAGGAGGGAGAAGAGCCTGGCACGAAGGCACAGCTTTTCTTGCTCCGGTTTGGAAAAGCGCCTTTTCCCAGTTGCCTTCGGCTGCAAACAGAGGGAGGCAGGATGGGGCAGGTCCAAAACGAACAGGGAGTGTGCTGGGAGAGTCTGGATGAGGGAGAGGAGCAAAGAAGGGCAGATGAAAGCACGAGACGGGCATGAGTCACGCTGGCACGCAGCCCCTGGAGAAAGCCCTCAAGGAAAGGGCATTTAGTGAATTCCTGGTCAGGCAAAAATCCACAAACACAAAAGGCAACCAAAAATAGGCCCTTGCATACCTGCCTGCCCTGGCTCGTCGTTCAGAGCTCAGTGTTACGATCGCTCAGGAGGTGTTTTTTGGGCACGGGGCAGCAGCAGGAGTGTTCAGTGCCACCTGTGTGCCCCATAGGGGAGAGCTCTGGCTGAGCTCACAGGTGCTGCACGGAAAGAAACCCCACTGCAGGCAGCAGCTTTCTGC